AGTATGTGACAGAAATGATTGGTCTCAGAAATTATTTTGAGAACTTATAACAAAGGTATACTTTCAAATGACATTTCATTAATAGAACTGGTTTACATTCAATTATTCTTTACATCCTTGTCCCACATTCTCATCTTCTGAAAATGGTTTTGGAGACAGATGTGTGAGAGAGTTGTATATAACTTATATATCATATTGTATTTAATAGAAGATTCTACTTTTTCCACTTCCGCATGAATAAACTAAAGAGTCCTCAATAAGTGTACAATAAAATTATATGGGATCTTCTGTCTTCACTGTGCCTTCCAATATGCTTTTCATGCTAAAAAAATCAGATTACTGTTTCTACGATTATATACAATAATATATAATTAATGCATTCATTTTTTTAAAGAATTTTTAAAAACTATTACATATCTGCTGATATTACTCCTTTTAAAAACTTAACATCAAGAAACTTCTATTAAATAAAGCATTGATTTCATTGAAGTATCACAATCAAGAAAATGTGCAAGATTAATGTTTGGTGGGGGCATATTTAGTAAGAGAATATTGAGTTTTTAAAAGGTAAAATTATGAACACTATGCAGGCTGCCTATTTAATGTAAACATGAATGATTTCTGGTAAAGTGAATGAGTAATAACCCACTGAAGGCATAAAATACCTTTGAACACCATTTATCTGTCAGCAGACAAATGCAGAAACGTACACATCAGTCTTCGACAAAATAGCACAAACAAAAAGCTTTCCTTATTTGCCTCTCAGCTGTCCTTCCTACTTCTTTTCTCCCTTCTGAGTTCCATCTTCTGTCCACAAGATCAGGTTAGGCAATATTTGCTTGTTTGCTTTCTAATTTTTCTTTGCAAATGCAAATAAGGTTCCGCTATCAATACTTTACACCTCTGACTCAAACTCATACACATCAATGCATTTATTCTCCTGCATGTATTTGCGTTTAAAATCTTTTATTCCTTACTGTGGAATAAAAGGACTGTCTTTTGTTAAAGGATGGTAAGGCAATAACTAGGTGAGGAAGATTTGGAAGAAAGTAAGAGAAATTTCTTTGTATGTGATATAGTAAAAGAGCCATTCCTGATGAGAAAATTACTATAGTCTTTTTTTCTTATTTTTTTGGAGTCAGGGGCATGAGATAAAAGAGAGACTGCGGCTGGCATTATCATTTTTTCCTTTATCTTCTTAACCCCCAGATTTGTAGATGTCAGGGAATTGGAACCATTTTCTGTGACTATAGCTTGTGTATCAGGCTCTTTCCCCTTTATCATCATAATCACACAGCCAAGGGGCTCAGAGTTTCAGCTGCTTCAAGTGGCTCCAAAACCTCTCATACAGACCAGGCATCAGAGGCAGAGAATGCAGAGCAGCTGCTCAAGGAAAAGACTGAGAGGGGGCTGATGTGATAGTCTTTCCCAGTCACATGTAATCACATGAAAGCCTATACTCATGACTGAGATGTCTACTTTGCACCCTGTTAATATGCTACTAAAGTGATGTGGTGCTAAAGCCATTTCTCTGGGGAGAAAGATGATGAGGGAGAGAGGTGGACACTTTAGAAGAGCCTCAGTTGTTGGGGCACAAGACGGTACAGATGGGAGGTTTACATAGATGTATGATCTATGTAAACGATGCGATGATCTATGTAAACAATGCGATGATCTATGTAAACGAAGTGATGATGACCGAAACACTGGATGTTAAGGGAAATGTATTAAGCGGGGGAAAAATAAACAAAAACTAAAACCATGCTTTGGTTATGTAAAAGCAATACTAATCAAAATAAACTGTGTGAATTGCTTTACATTTATGCCTAATTACCATGCAGCTCAATAATGATTATGTCATTATTTTGTCTGATTAACTTAACTATAAATTTAATATAAATTCTAAATACTCATCCCCTGTAATTTAGTGTTTTTGAACATTTATTTACTGACCCCCTTTTACATGCCAGACACCAAACTTCATACTGGAAATAAAAACAATAAGACAATCCCTGCTGTCATGGGGCTTACAGTCTTGAAGAGACAAGTACTAGGTGAATATCAAGCAGAGGAACTGACAATCAGTGTGTCTGTAAATGAGGGTGGGGAATGAGGGGAATATCAATCCCAGTCCTAGTGAGTCAGGTAAGGCTTCACCAAGGACATCTCAGAGCCGATTCTTGAAGAACCAGTAGTTAGCCAAGAGGAAGGGGAGAATGAGTTAGATGAAGAACCCAAGCAAAAGGAACAGGAAATGCACGGGCCTCAGAAACATAAGGCGAGTCTGAGAAACTGCTCAGTTGGAACACAGGGCAAGAGTCCTGAGACAGTGAAGCTAGTGAAGTAAGAAGGAACCACATTCAAAGGGCACTTGAATATCATACTAAGGAATTTGAAGTCTTAATGGTAATGGGGAACCACTGCAGATTTCAAAAAGGAGAATAACATGATCAGATTTACATTTCAGGTCAGACTCACTTTACTGCGGAGACTGAAGTACAGAGCTCACACCTGAAGACAAGCGGGGCAGTCAGGGGCCAGCTGCAATGCTTTAGGTGACAGATACTGGTGCTTAGGTTACGTTATTAGGATGAGAGAATTGAATGGACTTGAGAAATATGTAACAGGTGCAATTGAAACATCTTAGTCATTGACTGGATGTAAAAGGATTCAGAGGTGGATTTCTGACATAGGCAAGTGCATGATGCCATGGCAGTTGCTGAGATGGAGAAGAGAGGAAAAGACGCAGGTTGATGGGGTTTCTATCTGATTTTTTGTTGTTGATTTTGGCAGGGGTCAGGGACAGGAGAGCATTAGAAATTACACGTTCCCTCTCAACAAATTCTGTCTTATATGTCTGAGGAGCTTCTAAGTGGAGATCTCTGATAGAGCATTGGATATACAGGTCTGAGGCTAAGAAGAAAGAGCTGAGCCTAGACACATAATTGGGAAGCAGCATCATCTATCAGCTGAAACCATCAGACAGAGAAGAGGGCCAACATCAGCAGCCTAAGGAAACCCAAAATTTATGGGATGACCTGATTAAGAGCAAATTAAGAAAATAAGTAGGAAGAAAACCAGGAAAGCATATGATGACAAAAATCAGGGAAGGGACTATTTTAAGGAACAAGCTATCAACAAAGTCAAGTGCAACAGAAAATGTAGACTGGTCATTTTAGAGTACAATGCAATAAACTGTATCTACTAAAATGTTTGATCCTTAATTCCACTTTTGATATTTAATCAAAAAAAAGTGAGCATGTGTGTCCAATGAGACAAATTGAAGACCAGTTTGTAAAAGTAAAAAAGAATGTAAAAATCCAAAAACAGAAGGCTAAATAGGATATTAAGACTAATTCTATTGAATATTTCATGGAAATTGAAGAGAACAAAATAGGTTTACCAGGAAAAGTTTTTAAAAAATATTAAGCACAAAAAGGAGCCAGTTTTAGAACAATGTATATACAAATGACAGCAGCTATTTTTTTTAATGTATTTCCCTATGGATATATGATTGTAAGAAAAGCTATGAAAAGAGTCTGGAAGAATATACCACAGACTTAAGCCCAACAGTTAATGCTGCAAAGAAAGTTGATATTTAGCTGGGTCTGTGGTCATGGGGACCTTCTGCTTCATTTGTAGCTTCTGAACTTTTTACAATGAAAAATGTTGCCATTTAATAGTTGTATAATAAAGCACATTTAAAAAATGCTATTGAGAGATTAAGCAAAATTAAAATTGAAAAATAACCATTAGCTGATTTAATGGGTTTTTAGTAACTTTAATAAGTTTATGTTTGGAAGAATAAAGGGAACAGGAGATAGATTACAATGAATTGAGACTAAATGGGAGGAAAAGCAGTAGACAGAATATAAAACAGAAAGCTTGGTATAGAACAGAAAGAAGTGAAGGAAGGATTTTCATGGAAGAAAAGAAAAATTATATTCTCAGGAAGCCTGGTTGCTTACAGCTTAAAAAAAAAAAAAAACAGAGATCACAATGCTAATAAGCCATCACAAGATTCAGTGTCTGTTATAAGGTGTGAGGTATAACAACAGCAAGGCCCAGAGGAGCAGGAGTGGTTAACTGAACAGCCAGATCAAGAAAGTTCAGGTGAGGAAAAATACCTAGAGTTGGAGCTATGCGACATCTCGTGTTTGAGAGCATTCTAGGCGGTGCTACCTGGAATCAGCAGTGTGTGCTGGTCACTGATCTGGCACAAGAACAAGCCTACGTAGTAGTATTGGTTGTAGTGTGTGGGCAATTGCATGTGTTCATTGTTGTGCATCAGTCAGAAGTTGGAAGTAAAGCACATTGTCATCAGTGCATCAAAACTGTCACTCATCCTCATTCCACATGGACGAAGTTATGAGTGATAAGGCATCATTTAACTATATTTTAAATTGTCCAAAGAATTTTTGTTCAGCATTAAATAGGCAGGGATTAAGGGATCTCTTCTGAGACCAGGACAGGATGTCCGAAACGGCTCTGTTCTGAAGAAACCAACTACTTCTTGGTGGTCATGTCCTTCTAGAAATTTCTTAGAGGGAGGATACATGCTAACAAGGAACTATAGCGTCTTCCTCATTCCAGAACAATGTGTCCATCATTAAAAAATAAATGCACCCTGGTCCAAAACTACTTTTACAGGGGGGCTGCTCATATTCTGGTGAAAGAAGAGGGTGATAAACCCTAAGCTTGGGATGGTCCTGAGAAGCAAACAACTTTAAACCACAGTAAAATCACTGTGTCCTTTAAATGACAATGCACAGCAACACGAGATTTCATGCAGCGGGCAAGGCTGGGGGCAGAGGTGACATTACAACATGAGAGGTAAAAGGAAAAAGGTGGAGAATTTTCTGGGAGCAGACTTTGAAGGATTAATTATTGACACCTACACAGGAAACTCTCCATTCAGGGGCTTCTCTGTGTCATGTTTTGTCATGTCTACTTAAATTACACTAGAAACCAAAATAAACATTTGTATTAATAGCCCTCACCTTAAGAGTTCTATCTGTAGAACAGGCAAATTCCTCCTTTGGTTTATCCTACAGGCTGCCTTCTGAGGATCAGAAGAGAACAACCAACTTCGATCATTTGAACATGGAGCATCAACTAACACCTAGAGAGAAAAAGGACATATAATGTAACTATGCACTGAAAATATATCCTCAGACACAAAGTATATAGGGAAGATATGCAAATTGTGACCAAAAATAGCAAATAAATAAATACGGTTATTTTAAAACTGAAAATACAGAATGCCACATTCTTTATGACATTTCTTCATTAATACTTTACAGAAAAATTTCCTGTGCACTTTCAGTGTTTGAGGTTTTTTTTTAAGTGGGGAGGGGATTTGAGAGGAGTAAAAGTCTACTAATGTCCACTAATATGTCATATTTTTGATGACTACAGCAAGAACTTTTACAATAGTTACTCATTTTAAACAGACGTTACTATATTTCTGAATTCTCAGCATTTATTTTTAAGAACTAATAATTCAATTTCAGTTTACTGAAATGCTCTCTTTTTCTTCAACTGTCATACCCTGATATGAAACGTTACCGAATTAAAGCAATACAGTGCACGTATTTGTGTACTGACCCAAACAATATCTGATCTTTCCCTGAGTATCTCTGAGGCACCTGGAAATAAAAACATTCCATAATCCCCAGTCCCAGCATCACTGCTTCCTTTGAAATGCTGACCATCAAAAGAAAACCGCTTCCATGCTCACTTTATCAACATTTCCCAGGGCACTGAGAAATTGTATCAGGCTGTGTCTGGAAGCAGACGGAAAACAACAGCAACAAAGCAACAGAACAGTGGTATCACTGGGAGTCCATCAGTCTGTCACAATGTAATAAAAGTACCTTGTCAAACGTTTCAGGCCAGGCATCTCCCATTTCTCTGCCATCCAATTCAGACACTTTAATTACATTTACCAACGGCTGTGGGATGAAGGATTCTAACGTCTCCCTCAGCCACCTCAATCTCAGACTATCGTATTCGTTACAGTGAAGATAACCTAAATATAAAGGATTAAAAAGTTTTGAAATGAATACAATGGAACTGTTAAACTTCCAGTTTTGATCAAATACATTTCAGCAAGAAATCGGTTCATCATAATTACACAGAAATAGGGCTCAGACGTAAACATTATGACTTCCACATGTTTAAAAACACACACGCACGCACACGCACACGCACACACACACACATACACACACACTTCATAAAACATTTAAGATAGTCATGCCTGCATAGCCTCTCCTAAGCTCTCACCATTCACTCATTCAAATTTAATTTTCACGGTAAAAACCTTCAGAGAAATATGGATTCCTAAAGATATGCTATACAACCAATACCCCAGAGTTCTCTCTTGAAGTTCGTAAAGAGTAAATCATAAACTCTTAACAGTAAATGATACATAAGTTCCTTCCAGAACAGAACACTTTCATTCTAAATAAAGGAAGGTGCATGGCATGTGGGGAAAAAGCATGTAAAGTGCTGTTGACTTTATGACGAGAAAGATCTGGGCTCAGATTATGAGCTGTGAGACTTTGAGGAAGCCACCTAGCTCTCTTCAGAGTCTTAGTTTCCTTACCTGTAAAATGAGGACTGTACCTAGTGAGGGGCATATCACTCCAAAAATGCTGCTTTGGCGTATTGATTATTTTGAGTTAAAGATGTCTGAATAACAGCAGATACTGGAATGGCATTTGACCTTTTTTACTTCTTGAAAGCAGGAGATGAACTCCCATGTGAAAGATACCCTCCCTGTACCAGGAGGTAAGAAATATCCTTATCACCAGAGACAGGGAATCAAGACCAAGAGAAATGCGTACAGACTTTGTTCAAAATAACTCTTCCTTTCTTCTCCCCACATATTTCAGTTACTTGTCCACAACGGGCACTATTTATTCAACCTTGTATGTAAGCACTTACGCCTAGCCACTTCTTCGGGTCTTCATTTTCCTGTGGCAACTCCCATGAACACATAAAATTTTAAAGAATAACATTTGTATGCTTTATTCCTGTTACCCTGTCTTATGTCAGTCACAGCCAGAAGCCCTAAGAGGACAGGACAGAGGAGAAATTTTACTTCCCCTATGCTAGTACCTTACAAAGTAGTTGTTAAGATTAACTGTTACAAACCGTTACACCTTAAACTTATATACTTATATACTGTATGTCAATTATATCTCAATGAAACTGGAAGAAAAAATGATTAACTGTGACACTTTAGTAACATATGCAGCATAATACTGTAAAAGTAGTAACAAATGTTAATAATAATTACTAACAATTCTTGAGTCCCTACTGAAGGCTAGGCATTGTTCTAAGACTTTACACATAGTAACACATTTAACCTTCACAAATCTGTGAGTAGATAATTTTAATATTATTCTATTTTACTGATAAGGAAACTGAAGCCAAGACAGGTTAAGAAACCTGCCCAGGTTCACAGAACAAGAAACCCAGGCGCCTTAGTTCAAGAGCCCTAACTACTTTCAAGCACTATCTATGCTGTTTCTCAGTATAGCAGGCATTTAGCAAGTGGTTCTCTCCCTAATAAAACAGTTGTTTTGCCTTTCTTTACTTAAACATATATTTATAAATATTTTAATGTATTTATCACATAATAACATAAATTTCATATAATACATATTTAAATACAAGCATATTTTAAATGCCTAAAAGTATAAACAAAGAACATCAAAAATTACCTAAAACACACTGCCTTCAGATAAGCACAATTTAACATTTTAATAAATAAAAATACTCTATGTTTGTATGCCTATACCTGCATATAAAATGCATATGAATGGAGTTATAGGTTTTTGTAGTGTCATTTTTTCCACTTTTTCTTCATCTACCCCCTTCCCAACTCCCCAAATACACCATCAAAAGGAACCTATACTATCAACCTGATATACATATGCTATATAATTATCCACATACCCAAGATTATATTTACACACTTTTCTGTCCCTTACTCTCCACATATGCTAATACTTCAAAGGCAAGAGCACCAAGTTAATTGGTAGAGATATTTTTAAAGGCTGTTAAACAGTACATAGGATAAATGTCCTCCTTTACTCAACCATCACCAATTGTTGGGCATTCATTCTTGTTGTCAGTAAGGATAATAGTCAATAAGCATTTTCATAAAGGGCTCCTTCCGTAATGTGCTTTTATTATTACGGATGGTACCAGAAGAAAAGAGACTTTGGGGTAGGGGAATTTTTAGTTTTAGTAAACACTTCCCTGTCCCTCCACCAAAATCCCACAAGAAGTCAGTGTTACTATTAGTCTGACATGGTTTGTTATGCTGTAATATAATCCTTGCTCTCTAACACAATTGAGCTGCTTTTCGTCTAGTCACCATTGGTTTTGCTTTTCTGTCAACTGCCTATTCTTCTTTGACCTTTTTTTCCCCAATTGCACTATTCATATTTTTTTTATTAACAGGTAAGACGTATTTTCATATTTTTAGTATTAACTCTTTATCTGCGATCTGATTTGCAAATAATGTTTCCTAAACTGCCTTCTGAATTTATTTGTAATGTCTTTTTAAATACGTAAGTTTCATGTTTTTTTGTTTTTTTGTTTTTGTAAGGAGCAGTAATTAGGTTTACTTATTTATTTTTTTCATGGAGGTACCAGGGATTGAACCCAGGACCTCATGGATGTTAGGCATGCACTCCATCACTTGAGCTATACCCTCCCCCTACAATTTTATTACATTCAATCATATCACTTTCATAATTTCTACATTTTTTGATCTTATTTAAGGTCATATTTTCAACCATTAGATTTACAGGTCTAATTCAACTAAACATTCACACAGGCCATATCTGGCATCATCTGACAGAGGACAGAAATCACATCTTGCCAAGAAGGCTTTAATGGAAGTCTTTGCTGTGGTCCCCACAGGTGGTAATTCAGGTGCGAGAAGAGACTCACATCAGGCAGGTGCAGGAGTTGTCCTGGTATAAAACCCACATGCCCCACAGGAGCCAATATTTCATTTAACAACTCCACAGGCACAGCTGGCAGGGTCCCCACGGGGGACATGCCCAATTACAAGAGTCACTGCACTCAGGCCCAAAGCATGGCATCCCCATCAGCTCTCTAGAGTTTATTTATTCTTTTCCCCGGTGCACATACATTTTACCAATCAGGGTCATTTTTATCATAAGCAATGTTCCCTAGAAACAAAGTGACAATTTCTGTCAGGTTACCAGGGAAACAAAGCTAGGGAACTAACTGAAGGTGAAATTCTAACGCAGAGTGGGAAAAATTTTTGTAAACTCTTTGCTCAAAAATGTGTGTGTATACATGCACACATCTATATATCTATACATATATTGCTTTTTCTCATTGTCACTCTACTGTTAAAAACTTTTAATGACTTCCCATCACCCATTAAATAAAGTTCAAATATCTAGCTTTATTTAATTCAAGGTCTGTAATGGCAAGACCTCAAGAGAATCTTTCAATTTTAGCCACCCCCTCCCAACTATTTCACCACAATACTCTGTGCCCCACCAAACCTGACTGACTAGACCATCTCTCAAACATACTTTGTACCCCTCCTGTAGCACTGACCATATTTCATGTCATCGGAGGCTGTCCATGTGCACTGCTTACCTTTGCTACTACCAGGGCTCCAGATTTCCATATGCAAGGAGCTCAGGAGATGGCATCAATTTCGTTAGGGAGAAAGAGTAGAAAATCACCTTAAAGCTGCATTTGCACAGATAGTACATTCTTTCTGATTTCATTTACATGTTTATTTCAAGTGGTTTTTGGAGAAGTCACTAATGCAGCTTATGGGTAGGTGTCTGAAAGCACTTGTCTTAGCCTGAAATCACTAGAAAACAGTCTAAAACAAAAGCTTACATCATGGAAGTGGTACAATCCCAGGAAAGCAAGAGCGAGAGAAAAAGGAAGTAAATCATCCAAGGAGGGAGCACAGGCATAAGAAGGTTCATAATCAAGCTGGCTATAGCTTTGCTCAGTCTCTCAGGATATGCCCAAATTCTGACATTACTGAGCCTTGGAAGAAACTGGGGTTTTGTGGAATAGGGAAGAAGAGCAATCTACTAGCTTCTTCCTGTCTCCCATCTCTCAGTGGTTAGAGTCCATTCCAAGCGTTGATGACTCCCACATACCTCGGGTTTGTGTTATCTGGCCCCTCCGGGCAAGCAGTAAGAAAGCCAGAGTCCCTAGCCCCGATGCAGCAAGCACGCAGGTGTGGGACCTCTGCCTCCCTGCTGGCACCCATCCGGAGGCTCCTCAGTCTGTGGCAACAGCAGCATTAGCAGCAGACGACGGCAGGGTGGCATGAGCCTTTGCTAGGGTTTCCCCAGCCTGTTAATAACTCAAGCAGCTCAAGCGTTAAGGTGAAAGGTGGTAGGAAAAGTTAAGTCAAACACATCTGTGAGGTGGGTACACCACGGGCAAGGCAGCCTCCGAAGGCACACCTTGTTACCGCCTTACCTAACAGATACTAAGAGCCTCAAAGGAAAGAACTGTGTCTTAATTATCTTGTATTCCACTTCTCTCTTTTTCTGGTTTAAATATTTCACATTCTGTTTCTTTTGGTGGTAACCCTAGAGATTTTAACAGGCATATGTAAAAGAAAAATCTAAATTAAGTCCATCTTCACCATTTTCCCTAAAAGATGTAAGACTTTTATAACACTCCCTCCCAAATTAGATGGTATTTAGGATTTATAGGGGCTTACATTTTTTAACTGCATAAAATATTATTATCTTTGTCTTCTGTAGTCAATAACTGTTAGATTTTCCCCCATATAGTTCCACCTTCTTTGCTCTTCATTTCTTTTTGTAGCTTCTATTTTCCATCTAGGATGGCTTTCCTTTCTCCTTTAAATTGTTGGTGACAAATTTATACTCTCGCTCTCTCTTTGTCTAAAAAAATGCCCCTTTCACCTTCCTGCTCAGGGGTATTTTGGTGAATGTATTTCTGGATGATAGTCATCTTTTCTTAGCACAAGGAAAACATCATTCCTCTAAATGCTAGTTCCCACTGTTACTCTCAAAGGTCAGTCCTCAGTCTCTTAGTCCTCTCTGACCGCACCTAGACGGTTTTTTTAAATTCAGTGTTCAGCAAACTTCACTACAATGGTCTATGTTGGTGTATTTGTGATTACAAAATTTCAGAGGGTACATCCACTCCTCCCCCACCACCAAAGGTGAGGACAGACAGTATTCCTTTCAGTCCCTCAGAGAGGACAATTTCTTCCTAGTTTGCCTAACATGGTAAAAATATAATTCTGGAGTCTCAGCTTTACGTAACTTAGTCTCCTAGCAGATACTTTACTAGGGCAGGCTCTGGCTTCGCCTTTTATTCCCACATTTTCAAGAAGCAATGAAAATCAACGTGCAGATTTTTCAGGTGAAGTGGATGCTCTCAAGTGAAAAGCCTGCTTTAGTGCTCAATCTACATTCAAGGTTACCAAACTCTTAGATTTTGGCCACTGAGTATTTGGAGATCATTGATGCATTTAAAAAGATTTTGTTTTCCTTTAATATTATATCCTACTTTTTTTTGTTAATTTCAGCAGGATGGCTGGTTAAAATACCTACTTTGTCACAGCACAGGAAACAGAAGTCTTAGTTATTTCTACGTCCTTCACAGCTCTAGACTCGCCATCCAATGCCTTGCACAGAATATGCGCTGACTAAATGTGGCTGACCTGACAGGAAACATGGCATTATAATAAAGAATATTTAAATTGCTAAAACTGAAAATCAGGACAGCTTTTCATTAAATTGTAGCTTTAGTCAAGATTCTCAATTCAGCATTTTAAAATAACTCTCAGTTGAAATACAGCTTTATGCTATACTGTTGTTTGGTCTAGATGTAGATTTTATTTGAAAAAGTCTTAGATTGGTTAAACTTTTAAAAATATGCAATATAAGGCATCACAATCCAAGTTTCATACATATACTAAGACTTACTACATTGAGACAGAATTAATTTTATGCTTAAATTGTCCAAAATAAATCAATTTTTTTTTAATCTAAGTAGGAAAGGGGGTGAATTTAACAAATTCCTGAAAAAGTCACTGAGGCTTTTCAGGAATAGTATTTTGGAGTCTCAGCTTTATGTTTTATTTTGTTTACTACCTGTTCCAAAATGGTCATGGCTTTTATTATTACCAAATAGAAGGTGCACCTAATGCAGGGAGTTCTAGGAAGGCTTTTGTTGAAAGCTGATTTCTGAGTGAAAATCTGAAGAACAGAAAGGAATTAGCAGAGGAAGTGGAAGACGAAAGTGGTACCCATAGGGTGTGCAAAAAACTTGAGATTTGAGGGAGCAGGCAGGAGGGCAAAATCAAGTCAGTAAAGAAAGGAGTCCTTCTAATCTTCCACCACCAAAGGCTAAGGAGATGTGAAAAGGGTATCACTGACAGCAAAGAGAATTTCATGCCTGGAGAGATGTAGCCCTCAGCAAGAAAGTTGATCAAGCCACTCCATTAAGTTGGGTCATTCTTAATAAATTAATTTATTTATATGAAAGTTAATGCTTTCCTATTTAGAATCAGAATTGTTTGATCTTTTTCTATCAACACCAAGACATTACAAATGCTATGCTGACAAAAACAGAACAAGGTCAACAACAACAAATGGACAATCCCTCACTGTGCCAACGGGTGGGAGCAGCTGGACCAGAAGAAAAGTAGACTAATTTTAATCATCTGAAAATATAAGCTTTTCAATCATTCAAAGCTGTGAGCCTCTTGGCCCAGAATAAAGGCCAATACTGATCTAAAGAAATTTGGTGGACAAATGCATGTTTAGTGGAGCCATCATTTTAAGTTTTGCTTATAAAAGCTTTTTTTTTTTTCTTTGCATGGCTTCTGCATTCCAAATTCAAGCACTGTAGCTAAACTAATTTGGGCTCTGAGCATCAGCATGAAGACATCTGTACTTCTTAGTAAGCCATTATCATTAGCCCTCCTTAGATGAAAGGCTGCTTTACTTGGAACACTGCCTGTGGTTCATTGCCCTTGATGTAAGAACAGAAAGATTCTTTTCCACTTCAGACTCCTAGAATATATCCCATTTGCCTCTGGATTCCTAATCTGGAATTTCCTTACCATAAGCACGTAAAATATTCATAGCCTACTAATGAGGATAATCTAGGATTAAAATGCCCTCTCCTCAAAATGGTATCCAAATTTGGCATTTCTCTTCCACCTTTCACAATACTAAAAATTTTACATTCAAAATTGATGTAACAAACAAAATAAGGGTACTGTCAATGAACACAGGGTGAAGGTAAAAGCAAATATTCCCTATAACCTGAGTCCATAAAATTTCATTTTCAGCTCCAATTATAAAAACAGTAAAATGTTACAAAATAATCTCTTTTGTTCTGATTTTTCACATAAAAAGTATAGCAAGATTCAGTAACAGAATTTAAACTGCAATTTGAAAATGCACAGTATGTTTTCACCTAAATATACAGTTAACTGATATGTGTGTGCCAATGCCTAGTACACTGGGTTCACAGTTCTCATAAAAAATTTTGTAATCTATTTCAACAGGAATGCTCTCAAAGAAAGATATAAATTAGCAGTCTTCAAACTGGGACATGCATGCCCTGGGGATACATAACTTCCTAAGGGATGACTTGGATAACTGTAAAAGAATTTTCAGATCACTGACTTCCTCAAGGAGGAGAACATCTTGGTCAGGGCTTCTCCTTCCACAGTGGCTGGCCCTTCATCAACTTTACAAATGAGGAGCAAGCTTTCCACCATCTGGAATCTTATTACAACAACTTGTACCAGGGCACAGAAACCTCCAAAACCCAAACAGAGGCATACAACACAGTGGTGCCTGGGCTGAGAAAGTGCATGAGTCTCCTAACTAGATGACACAGCCTTTTGTAACTGAGATGGTTTCCAATCCTTCGCCTTTATCAAAATCAAAACCAGACCTAAAGAGTGCTCACCTAGTAGATGATTAAAATAACCCTCAGTGAAAGAGATCTACGTGATTCAGGGTTATAACTGAGGAGTTTAAAGAACTAGTGAGACTAATACAAGCCCCACCATTTCCATCTTTTTATCTAGGTGAACAGCATTTGCACTTACAAAAACAAAACCATCAAACACCAACCGGACGGAATTGACGCTGAACCCTGTCTCATCTAGCCATGAGTAATTTTCATCCAGGGAAACTGGAAATGATATTTTAAAAGTCCCATCATCTCATTAAAGAAAATAATTTACAATGAATGCATTACTTTAAACAAGTATTTATTAAAATGTATATTATATACATTTCATCATTTTTATACTACTAATAATAGTAATGATAAGTCATTTCAAAAGAACTTCTAAAATGTTAAGAATTGCACTGTTCAGTACTATATCCACTTGCCACATGAGGCTATGAGCACCTGAAACATGGCTAGTCCAAATTGAAATGTGCTATAAGTACAGAATGCACACCAATTTCAAAGATTTTGTAAGAAAATGAGAATGAAGAATATCTCATTAATAATTTTTCTTTTGATTACATGTTGAAATAATACTTTGGATTATTAGGGTACATGTATAATTAAAATTAATTTCACCTGTTTCTTCCTATTGTTACTGAGACTGCACAAAAATTTTAAATTTTATATGTACTTCATGTTACATTTCTGTTGGACAGAACTGCCTTAGAACTTTATGGTCCAATGATACAAAAAATGATTTTAAATGTTTATGTTTTTGTTGCATAGAAGTATGACAAAGATATCAATACAAGACTCTCAAGTGTAAAAGTAACAAAATAAAAAAAAATCTTTGTCATTGGCTTATCAGGATTCACATTATCTGATAGATCCATGGTCACAAAACGTAGTTTTGTTACAAATTTCCTGCTAGAATTAAGTAGCTGGGAAAAAAAAAAAAGGTTTTTACACTATTTCCTTAGCTAAAATTTTCGTTCCACACTGGCCTAGTTTTCAGGCTTTTAAAGTCTGCAAAGTCAATCTTACACTTCTCTCTAAACACTTTAAAAGTATTTTGTAACATATAGTTGTAACAAAAGCTGTCGATTATGGAAAGAAGAGCACATTACCTGGATAAGCACACTGCATCAGAGCCACAGATTTGCCTCCAGGGGCGGCACACAGATCCAGGACCTTCTCCCCGTCCCTCAGGTCCAGAGCCAGCACTGGGAGGAGAGAGGCGGCATTGAGGAGGTAGTATTTTTTCAGGTTTCCAAGCTGGTGTCTTTCTGAAGGCATCCTGTGAGGAGTTCTGCTAAGGTAACACTTCATTGATTTAGGATAGTAGGGTAAAGACTCTGGAAAGAGTGAATGATAGCCCTTCAGATGTAAATCCTTCTCTAGTTCAAAAGGAAAACTGAATCGGTTAAGAAGGACAGCATATTGCCAGCATGATGGAGATGTTAGTACACCCCTAGAGAGAAAAAGAAAAACAAAGGGATATTAATATTGTACAAAGCAATACATTACATTACTAAGCGAGGGAATGTGGTCCCAGTTTTATATCTTCCTTACCTGGGATTGTGAGAGCCATATCAGTATTACTGACTTTTCCTTTTGCCTCAGGCTCCCATATGGCTCAACCCAGCACTGTTACGGTTCTGTCTATATTTAAAACATTGATATTGTGTCCATTGTGCGTTTTCTATTTTGTATCAATTTGGGTCATTAAAATAGTATTTATCTTGGTTATCGAGTTTTAGGAACACCTTAAATTCTGCACCAGAGAGGAATGCCTCACTTGCCCCAGTCTAGTCCCTCCCTGCAGATTATCTTGCCAAAAAAAAACATGGCCTGTCTTTGCATACTTCTAAATCCACCAAAATTGATTTTAGTCTACCACTTTTTGCACAAGAAAGAGTTTCTTAGAGACAAAATTTGAAACTTGAATCTATTAATATTGAAGGGAAGTACCATCATTAAAGGGTGTTTAAAGGAGTAAGGGTTAAATTTTTCTTCTGACAAAGATAAAAGTACGAAAAGCTAACTACACTGAACCCTACAGTAACAGAGTTAATGAGGCAATCAGTGGCTCAGATGATACGAAACCGAGGATGGTTTAAAAATCACTTATGGATGGATGGTGCAGGCTCTCCCCGCACCATCCCCCAGCAGATCTAACTTCCTAACTTTTTATTCGGTCCAACAGTTAGATCTTTTGATGATCACAATATCACATCAATTGACAAATGATACATCAGGAAATAATTTATTTACCAGCTGACCTTTCTAGCTGAGTTATTTGGGAGCCTCATCAACCATGGTCAATTAAATAAATTCCAGATGCTACTCACTCTGGTGTTGCTTGTGTGAGGAATGGCTGGATTGAAATGTAACACCTGTGACTCAAAGTGTGCCATGTGAATTTCAATTTAGGCTAATACATGAAATTGCTTTCTCCTTTCGCTGCCTCTCACTGTGGTGGTGCATCATAGGAGCCTTGTGTTTCAGCTATACTGGAAGATGGCAATCTTTTTAAGAACATGCTTCAAAAATTTTAACATGCATCAAGTGTCTGTAAGACTGCTGGGCCTGACCTGGGGGTTTCAGGAGGTCTGGGGCGGAGCCTGAGAATCTGCATTTCTAGCAAGTTCTCTGAGGTGATATTGATGCTGCTGAGCCCCAGGACCACACTTTGGGAACCACTGCATTAAAATGGACCCAAAAGGGAAATCTATGAATGCCACTGTTGTGAATCTGACATCAGTCCATCCCAATCTTACCCTCCAAACTGGATGAAAATCTGTCCAGAGTTTTGAGTCATGCAGCAACAGGGAAATAATGTTCAGAAAACATAATTTAATTAATACAGACTGAAGTGGCTTGGCTTACATCGTGTATCCATCCCTCAGCTAACAAAGGGTTGAACACTTTCAACACACTTTGGATACTTTAAATTGGTTAATATCTGACAAGGCAAATCTCCATTTTTTTTTCCTACAGAATTTCCAAAGCTATTTTAGAATGTTTATTCTTTCAGATGAACATGAGAAACAGCTGGTCAGTTAAATATTTCATAAAATATTTATATAGACAGATTATAAATTTGACTAGGGTTAAAGTAAATGCACTAGATTTGGGGAGAATTAACATCTTTATTGTATTTACTCTTTCCAACCTTCACAATATGTTTCTCCCTTTATTCACATTTTCTTTCAGGTCCCTTAGTGAAAGGTTATTAATCTTGCATATTTCATTTAGCCTTACTGTATAAAAGGACGGTTAGTTTAGAAACACTACTGAGTCTTATACATTATCCAATGTTAAATCTTGAAGGATGAGGAGAAATTAGCCATATGACGAAATGAGAAGGGAAGTTCCAGGGTCAAGGCTACAGCACTTGTGCAGGCCCAGAGGTATGATGGACAGTGCACTTGCAGAACTAAAAGTAGTCTAGTGTGACAGAAGATGATATGGGTTCAGCATAGGATAAAGTTTCAAAATTTTATCTAATAAGTTGTAAATTCTTATAAATAAGAAGTCATGGAAAGATTCTAACGGGAAGAGCCTCATGAGATTTAAAAATGGCACAGTAAGGCAGGAGTCTTCAGGAATTATTCTAGCTCATTTTTAACAACTAGATAAAAGAAGGCCTTGCTCAGAACAAATACATTTTCTGATCCCCCATAACTGACTACTGAACCACCTAAATTTCCTGAAACAAGTTTTCTTTAGCCTTTAACAGCCTCAGCATCAATTGCTCTTTCTGCCTAGAATGACCTTTCCTCTCTCACCCTCTTGCAGCCTGGCTAACTCTCCTACTCGCTGCTCAGGGGGCAGTTTAGGCTTTATCCCCCCAGGAAAGCCTTTCTATCTACCACCCACTCTCCCCACTCCACCTCACCCTGATAATATTAACAAAAATTACTGATCAGAAGCTTACAATATGCTTTTTGCATGCTTGCCTCATTTTACCATCACAACAACCATGAGGGGTGGCTATTATGTCCATTTTAGAGGTCAGGTTAACTGAAGCTTTCAGATTTGGCAACTTACCCAAGGTCACATTGCTGCTTAAGCAGAAGTCCCTGATTCAAAATCCGCTGGCTTTAGAGCCTAAAAGAAGCGTGAGGCCCTAGTACAGTAGCACAAGTGGTATACAGCAGGAAGGGGAAGAGAATTTCTACTCTGACCCTCACCTACTGCCAGTGGCCCGTCTCCCTGAAGTGGTCTATTGCCTCTAACAGTGGGAACAGCTTGACAAACTCAGCCCTTGAGGACTAGCTGCAGCAGGACAAACTCAAAGACATGACTGCTAAGGCTGCCCAGGTTGGTGCTTCCAGCCCTGAGAAAGCAGTGTATTAATGTGGATCTCAGCTTCCCCTGCATCCACCTGCCAGCAACCTCCTCTCCCCTCAAACACACACACACACACACACACACAGACCCTCCAGTGATTACACTGGTAGGATGATGTCCTGGTGCTGGTGGTCTAGTGGCTACTCTCTTCAAAAGCTCTGACGGATGGGCTAGTAGCCCAGCAGACAGTGGAGGGAGTACACATGAAAAGGCTCAGGAAGACACTGGCCAGGCACCACATTCCATACCTCCTCCCAAGATTCATGAGGAGGAGCCTGAAATGCTCCACTTACTGGACTCCAAGGCCAGAAGTTCAAGTACACCAGCAGACAGCAGAACTAGGACCTACAAGGTCAGTGACCTGCAAATGTTTTGCTAGTATATCCACTGATACCACTTCAAAAAAACTATATACCCTCTGGAACATTTTAAGCTGAAATCAAAATCTTCCTCATATGTTTAAGGATGTAATTTCCAGCATACTGTAAAGATTGACATTTTAAGATATAAATTACACTGCTTTTTTAAATGTATCCAGTGGAACCTAAATACCAGACTAATTCTGAAACCCATCACTGTCCATTTAAAAATTCATGGAATGAGTCTTCTTGAACAGGTGGAAATTTTACACCATTCCTTTTCCTTTTATTTACATTATAATTCCTCATATAACTTTATCCTAATATATTTTTGTGCTTTTAATCCTTATTACCCTATTATATTTCTCTTTTTCTCTCCCACACACATACACACATGTATATACTAAATTTGTTTTCACTGTAGCCTTAAAGGTCTAAGCGTTAAAATGGTAAATTCTGGATTCAGTTATCAATAAAATTATTTGTACACAATTGATCAAAATAACTTACAGATTTGATAATTATTTAAACATAAAAAGGAAAAATTCATAAGCAATGTATCTCTTAATGAAATGAGCTTTTCCCCCCCCTCATATATCCAAGGATGAATATTACCAGTGCTCTAATGATCAGGGTTCAACATCAATTTTATTCCTGTTTTGTATTTGTAGAAGGGCTGAGAGAAACCTTCACTTAAATAAGTAGGTAAGAATTAAATACATTTTGTTAAAGCAATGTCTCCTTTTTGTTAAACTTCTTTTTGAGCTATAATCTCAAATCACTAAATGACATATCTTCAAAAATATTTTAAATGCTCTATTAGCTGACAATTCAATTGGAAATCCTTTACTTTTGTTGAAAGCAAAACTTGGAAACTGTCTGACGTGTCAGGAAAGAGTTTGTTAGTCGTTAGTCATTTACTTTCTAAACCCTTACAGTGATAGTCCAATAGTCTCTGGCAGGGGGAGTTCCTGACAGCCCGGAGGAATGCAGTGTGGAAGAGACAGGATGGTGAAAGTGCACCCCCTCTGTAAAGTGGGACAAAGACAACAGCAGAAGGGCAGGTTGGGAAAGGAGAGTAAGTCCCCCCTCAGGCAACAGAGGAGCAGAGTAATCTGGAAGAGCACATGTGAAAGCTGAGAATCTGGAAGTCGATTGCTCTAACTTGCCTCTGCTCACATATCCCTTGAAAATTGCATAATATATTATTTGGACAATGTCTGATATATGATGATTTTCAACTTTTCTGTGATTTTTACTACTTTACCTTACTATTCTATTCTCTACCTTCCTATGTAATGATGAGGATAAAGAATCATTTTGTCTAGACAATGTTAAGCACAATTGGTATAACTGCAGATTACAAAATCAACTAAATGTTCGTGTTTAAAAAATAGAAATCCCTTTTGTTTTATTGCTATCATTATCCACTAGAGGGCACTCATTCAATCATTTTAAGCCTGGTTTAGAAATCAGAATAAACCAATTCATGGAAGTGTATCAAAGTTATGTTTTCCAGTTATTTTATTTTTATTCTTCAGAGATTCTAATGATGAACTGATTGCCTCCTGTTCTTTCTTGGTGTTGTTTCCTCCTTGTCTCTCATAGAAGGACAATCTATGTCCCTATTTCTAGCCACAGTATCTCAGGAAGCGTTGAGGGAAGGCTTGTGTTTCTGGTGGAGACAAAAAAAGGCTGAAAATACTGCACACAAGAAGTCCTTATGTCCCTTACATCAGGAGATGTGTGCATACACAAGGCTGGGACTCCAAATCCTTCACAGAAGCATGCTTGGTAGAGGAAAAGGCACAGGCTTTCAAGTCACAAGCTTGGACTGGCCATAAACTGAGACACCTGGCAATTTTTCTAACCTCTCACTTTGAAGGGGGCTAAAAGTTACTACTCACAGGGTAGTTTCACAGATTAAGATTGAACATGTGTGCAAAGTCAACATAAGGGACAAAATAGAAATTGAGGTACTAGTTCATTTCTGTTTTCCCCAACCAGCCCACTACACCCCTCTTCACAGATTCTGGTAATACAATCTGGTTATATATTTCTTCCTCTATATGTTAACTATGTGAACTCTGGATTAATAAGGAGAAGGTAAAAAAAAAATTTACAGACAGGCCAGAATTAACCATGTTTCCCCCAACCTTTTTTTTTTTTTTGCTTTCCACAAAGTGCACACAAAATTTCCAAAGTTTGTAAACATTTGCAATTAATCCTCCCCTCATATATATTTGAAGGCAGAATATATATAACCCATTGTGCTCAGCACAACGTCTGGCATATAAATACAGCCTAAATTGTGATTAAGTAGATGGCTTGCACACGAGTCTTAGGAATTGGTTCTTCCTGACCCTCCTTTGCCAAAGAGACAAGCAAGTTATTAAATTGTGACAAGAACAGTCTTGAAAGAATTACAACAGCTGTATCAACAAAATTCAACGGAAACACAAAGAGCAGAACTAATTTTGCTGAGTGTATGTGGGGCAGATTGATGAAGAATTAGTTAATAATAGTAATAGTAATAAAAATAATTCTAACATGTATCAAGGGCTTACTATATGTCAATATTCTAAATACTTTGTATATATGTAAATTTATTTTATCTTTCCAAATAATTATATAAAACATAGAATTTTTCCCTTTTTATACACAAAGGTAGGAGACACAGAGATGTTAAAATAACTTTCCTGAGTCACGTTACAAGATGCAAGGGTGGGATTTCAACCTACACTTTAACCACTGTACAGAAAGAAAGGAGATGGTCATTCCTGGCAGAGGGAACAACATATTCAGTCCCAAAAGTCTGTCTAATCACAATAAGATGTTTAGTCCAAATGTAACACTGCAGACAGTGGGGGAACAAAGGAGGCTCGTACTCCAGGAGGGACACAACGGAATACGGCAGCACTGAGAAGCAGCACGACAAAGGTGGGTAAGACAAATTCCCAGGGCTTTTCCAAATGTGCGCTGTGTATCACTGGGCAAATTACTTAACCTCTATATGCCTCAGCTTTCCTACCTGTAAAATGATGATAATAACAGCCATCTTCAAGGGTTATACAGAAGATTATGTCATTATTTGTAAAGTGATAAGAACATTGCCTGCCATATTGTGCCAAAAAAGTGGTTGCTAAAATAAGCAAATAAGTAAACACTAAAGGTGGGCGACTACGAAAAGTGCTGCTGCAATATGCCAGGTAAGAAATGACGAAGGCCCAGCTAAGCAGGAACAGTGAGGATAAGCAGGAGATCCAAAGTAAGAAACTTCTCATATAAAAGCAAAAGCATTTGGCGGGCATTTAGATTTTGATGGGGGCAGGGCAGTGGTGTGTGGTGGCAGCACACAGTTCCAGGTCCCCAAGACCACTCTCAGGCTTGATTATTAAATAGAAGGACACACAGAACTCACCCTTAGACCCATGCTTATGGTTGAGGTTTATTATGGAGAAAAGATACAGGTTAAAATCTGTCAAGGTAAGAGATGTGTGACGCAGAGGCACAAGCGTTCAAAGCATAAAGCTTCCACTTGTCCTCCGGTGGAATCATGGACAAGGGTAACTTTTCCCTGCAATGTGTGACAATACGCATAGGAGCACTGCCAACCAGGGAGTCCTGGTGTCTAGATTTACTGGGCTCAGTCACACAAGCATGAGTGACTGCCCACTCACTGATCTTTTTAGACTTGAGTTCCTCGGGAGGTAGGAGGTGGGAGGCCTAGCTAACACAGTGGCCCAGAACCCCCACCATAAATCACATTGCTAGACTTTCTCATGTTGCCCAAGCCCCCAGGTAAACAAAGACACTCTTGAGCAGGACACTCCAAGGGCTTACAGATCACCTCCAAGGAGCTGAGGGCAAACGTCAGACCTGTTTTTGAATAAGGTTCATTCCTTACGACAAAGGTAGTGAAGTGTGGAGGAGGAAAGAGGAAACCAGCTGATAATGATACCTTCCACTGAGATAGAATATGCAAGTAGCAAATGGCAACATAAGCTTGGAAAGGAAAAATTAGAATATGCTTTTGAGTTTTCCTGCTGTGGAACTAAGTGATGTGATCAGAAAACACTTAGAAGCGTGGGGCTGAAGCTTGGGAAGGACCCCACCACTTGAGACAACAGCATACTGAGGGAAGCTTACAGCCATGCCAAGAATGGGCTCACCTGAAAGAGAACATGAGGACAAGTAGGGCAAAAACTGAACCAAGGTAAACCCCAACTCCAAAGGGCTGCTCAGAGGGCAATGGCGAGGAGAGTTTTTACAGAATAAAATTAAAATAAATACTAAATTGTCCCTACTATTACAGGACTATTGAGTAAATTACTTTCTAAGTAGCACAAAAATGCACTCGCCTTTCTCTGGAAGTACATAGACTCTGCAAGCACAGTACTATGTCTTTCAAATAAATGATTAAAAGCCAAAAATATTTGTTTTCATTTCCCCATGCCTTCCTGCATGCACAGAGTACTTTCTAAGCTGAGAAAGCTTTTATTTTGCCTATGGCAAATTTAGCACATGTTTATGCAAAACTTAAACTACCATGAAAACCCAACAAAAAGGCAGATGAAGCAGAAGGCACAGCTAATCAAATGGATTTGAGGTTCACCGCTCATTTTGGTTAGGGTCAAATAATAATTTATAAATCTGTCTGAGCACATTAAATAGAAAAGTAACTCATTACATTAGGGTATGAATAGCCAGATTACTATAAAATCTGAAGACAATATACCTCTTGAAATCTGTTTTTTTAAAAATCATCCATTTATGCCTAGTTACATCGCAGGTATGAGAGGCATATAGAATATGGGTTAGCAGTGGGAGTTTATGAACCAGAGAGTCTGGGCACAAATCCCAGCTCTCCCACTTAACTAGCTGAGTGAACTTGGGCAAGTTACTTAAACTCTGCAGTTTCTTCAGTGAAAAATGGGAAACAAATCTCAAAGGTTTTTCTGAGGATCAAATGAAGTCAGTATTGCCTGGCACGTAATAAGCACACAGTAAGTGTTTCGTTATTGTGCTATTCTATTTGAGTACCTTTGCATACTGAAAACCTCACAAATTAATTACACACTCCACTATTTATTCCTTTTTCTCCTGTGATAGAAGACACACATTTAAAGATTTAGTCTTGAGATAAAACTTCAAGCTACATTTTCACATTATAGTATTTACAAGTTTCTAAAACAGTTTCATTTGTTTAAAATTATCTCAGAACCACCTTATACTTTATTAAGTCACCAAGAAACCTGGCTTCCCTCAGGTAAGACTAGGTACTCCTGACTATTTCTATTAGGATACTCATGGAATTAGCAGCTTATATAGTTTTAATCATGCTCCTCCTCCCCCAGGAACACCAGACTGTCAGCAAACTGGACATGGGGACAGTCTTGCTCTTTGTATGTCACAGGGTATAATGTATCAAGCACTCAGTGTAAAGAACACAGAGTAACATACCAAAGGCAAAACTCACTAAACATACAAATTAAACTTCTCTCACATCCGTGCATTAAATATTTATTTGTTTTCTATAATACATTTAAATAACGTGTGTGTGTTAACACGTGTGTTCAAGACATAGCCAGCTATTACATAGGGAAGAAACATGATTACTAAATAAAATGACATTAGCTAAGATAAAGCAGTGTTGGCTTTAAAGACTTGTTGCTTATCTTCTGAATTTCAGAAACTAGTCAAATATCCTCAAAAATTTCCTTTAAAATTTTTCTGTTACAAGAGAATTAATTTTGTCAAAGTGGTGGGCATTCCTATTTCAAAGATCAAAGCAATTGCACAAGGCAAGGGCAGAACAATTTGTGCTATCACTACAAAGTTTTCTTTCTCCTCTTTTCATCTCCCTATGATTCAGTCTATTTCCTCCTCATTCACCCCTTCTGAAGCCTCAGCAGGAAATGGCAGCCAGGTTTAGATTCCTTTATTTTTTATCTTCCCAGCACCCCTCCTCAAGAAGGGTTTATTTCTTGTTCTATCATAAACCATCGAGATGAATTATACTAACCTTACTGTATTCCAGGCATCTCCAAGTTCTTTGGAATACTGATTTTCAAAATGATCCAATACAACTTTGCAAATCTGTTTTGCAAGCTTCCTCTCTGATTTTGCTTTCAGCTATGATGATAAGAAAAAATTGCTGACACACTGATTTATAAATTTATTGAACTTCAACATTAGCAAAGTCTTCTTTTCTTAAGATAAAAACTTTTTTTTGGATAATTACTAGTTCTTGAAACAGGAGCTGTACCTCACACATAACAAAATTGTATTACAATACTCTTATCTACTTAAGAAAAAAGGTTTCTCCAAATGACTATTGCTCAAATGTAAAGCAAAGGTTAAAGCAGAATCCTGGTGTTAACAGAGGACTATACGTCAAAGGAACAAAATTTAAATAAGCCACTCTGGATGTTAACATCAGGGAGAAGTGGGTGAAAAGCATATGCTAACTCCATTATCTTTGCAACTTTTTTGTAAATATAAAATTATTCCAAAATAAAGTTTATTTAGAAAAAGTCACTCTGGGCTCCTGCGGAAACTTCCTTACAATTCTATCTCATGTACTAATCCCGGAAAAGTTTATCGAGGGCCTTCTATGTAACAGATACCGTTCTAAGTTTCCAGGATAGGGCAGTGACAGTCCTGCAGGAGCCTGCATTCTGCTCAAAGCTGAAAGGAATGGATATGTTAAAGCCCGCAGCCTGGACTGCAGACAGGTTATCTGAGGAGAAGGTGAGTCTCGGGAGAAACGGACAGAGTATGCAACTACCAAGCGTCAAAAAAAACAGCATTATTCCAGAGCTCTGGACTGAAGCTAGAGAAACCCAGAGATCAAGAAGTTCCCCCGTCCCAGCCCTCTGCCCCGCCATGCCGGTCAGTAAAGAAATGTGCAGTTCAGTCAGAGGCACCCGGCTGGGTCCCAACCCTCACCCGGGTCAACATCTTCCAGTCAGGAGGGGTCAAACGAGAAACCAATACCGCTGGGCATCTAAAGCCTGCAGGGAACAAAAACAACAGCCCGCCTTACGAATTTCGCCAGACTTCTCTCCTATCCCTCACGTTTCCGACTCAACATCTCGCGAGATATTGGTTTGCGGGACTTAACGAAATCTCGCCAAAAGACCTAGGTCTCTCGAGAGTCAAGCGCAAGGTTACTCGGGCGGGTGGCTGGAGGAGGCGGTGACCAACTACTCCCGGGGGCGTGGTCGAGACCCGTAGGCGGAACTTTGGGCGGCCGGTGCTTAGATAGACACGCCTTTCACAATCTTTTCTGCTGTGTACTTGGGGCTCAGAACGACTGGGGATGTTTGTCCCTATTAGGCTTGTAGTACGAGCGTTGTTTTAAGATGTTCTCAGAGGTGAAGCTAGTTACGGAGCTTGTCTACCAAATCCGAAGACCGCCATTAGCCCAAATATTCAGAACTCAAGATAAAATAATGGATATGACGAAAAATAGTCAAGCATTGCCTAGAGATGGCCAATTGGAACAATCTCTCTCTTTAAGGAGGAGGGTTCAACTGACTGAAGTACACAGGTAAAGCGCTTTGCACAGACTAGGAAACAGTAAACGCCCAAATGTTAGCTGCTACTTTATTATCTTGATCTTCGTGATTATCAAGTTTTGATACCAAATGCCTGACGACCAAAATGACCTGACCCTCCTCACCCACCTTTAGTAACGGAAGGGTTACTAGTTCTCAGGAGAGTGAGTGTTAACACCCATTCTGATAGGAATAGCAATTTATTTGCTTTTTTAGTGCTATTTTTTATTTGCTACCTTGTTAACATCAATCAGCAATTTATCAGAAAGTCAGTGCTTAACGTAGTTCCCAATATTTAATGAACATCATCATTTTGACACCCTTGATGCTCAAAATATCAGTATAAGTGTATATCATAGGTGCAAATCTTAGGATCATGTAAAAAGATAAACTTCATTACCCCTAATATGATTTGAAGTCTAATATATTTTATTTATTTAAACAAGTTGCCCAATAATTTTAAAATGAATTTAGATTTTGTGCAAAAGAAAATATATTATTAAGATGTGAGATGATTAAATGCATTAGTTCGTTGCGTGTTTAAGGAAAAGTCGTTAGTTTACATTTCAGCCTGTAAGAAATTTCGTAGTTTATTTTTTCTGTACTCATTACAAATTGTTTCATTTAATGAATTAAAAGAGTAATCTATTTGCAGTGTAGACATATAAAAAACTTTTAAGGTGGTAGTAGAAATCGTATGTACTATTTTTCTATTAGGGAAAGAGGATATGTTATGCTTGGAAAGAGGTCGTATTCGTTCTATTTTATTCTTTTGTAATTTCTTTAGCGTATTTCTATTTTCTGGCTTTTAAATAAACTAATGCTCATTGAAGAAACCAAAATTTAAAGCCTATAAGAATGAAAATCATGTATAACACAACTAGAGATAATCACTATTAATATTTTGGTATATTTCTCTTAACTATGCATTTTCAAGGTTGATCAAACTATGTATAATGTATGCTCTTCTGCTTTTATAGGCATTTTCTTATATTAAAAATTCTTCCTATACAGTACATAATTTCTACAAGTTGCATAGTATTTGAAGGTATGGAGATTATACTTACTAGCTATATTCTTATTATTTGATAAACATTTTTGCTCATAAATCTTTGTAAGTCTGATAATACAATTTTTTAATTATGTCCTTATTCTAGGTAAGTTTTCAAATCTTATTAGTATCATATTTCTTTTGTAAATTACTTGCTCATACTCATTTATCTATAGCGATCTTAGTGCTATTTTAATTTATATTACAGATGTTACCATACCACATTTTCAAGTACTTTGCCAATTTTTCTTACCACCATTAGATTCTGAATGTGGAAAAAATGTGAATTTTTATGCAGTCAAGTGTTTGAATTTGTAATTTACTTCATTGCTTGCAAATTTCTTCCCATAGAAGGGAGTTACTTCTGTTCCTTTCTTTTTTCTTTACAGGTTGATCTTTCACATTTAACCCATTAACCCATCTAGAACCAATATTAGTATATCATGAGAATGTTAATGGATTTCCACTCCCTGACACCAAATTGCTACCGAAGAATAAACAAAGTTTCACATTGAGATTTTACGAGTAGAAACTGTTAGAGGCCAACTTGTTTTAGACCCACTGTAGACATAAGAAATTAAGCTGACACAAAATACCAGAAATTGTACTATGGTTTTAAGATTGTTATTATTATTGTTATCATTACAGTGTTAAAGAATGAGGCAGCTTAATAAGGACTTACTGCTAAGCAGGAAGTTAATTTTTACATGCTCAAGCAATTTTATTGTGAAATCATTTGATACAAGAAGTGTTACAGAACAAACTTTTTAATGGATTTTCATAATTATATATAACAGCTCTCAAAGCCCTTCATGTTCATACAGAGATATATGTGTCAAAAGATAAAGACAGGGTTTGTAGTAAAATAATCTGTCATCAAGAGTGTTGGCTCCTTAAACTGGATAGCAGAAAAGCACAACAGAGAAACTTACCATCAAAGCAAGAGAACAAAGCATAGTTACAGGCTTTAGGTGAGTAGATAGCTGAGGCTCTCATTTTTTAAATTATAGGCCTTCAAAGTGGTATTGTACAAACTCCAGCAGACTGGGACTCAGAAGTAAATATAACCACTTGTATTTTTATTTTATTTTTTCTAATTTTTGAAAAAATTTAGGG